TACATACGTATACACATACCCATACCCATACACACACACACACACACACACACACACACGTATACATGCTTCACTGGTTTTGCTTCTCTAGACTGCTTAGCTTAAGAAAATGTCCTCATCTAGGGACTGGTCCTTCCTAACAACATGTCCAAAGTACATGAGACTAAGTCTTACCATCCTCGTTTCTAAGGAGCATTCTGGCTGTATGTCTTCTAAGACATATTTATTCGTTCTTCTGGCAGTCCATGATATATTCCATATTCTTCACCATATGGCCCAGCTATTCCACTCTTAGTATGAACCCCAAAAAATGGAAACATATGTTCTCACAAAATCTTGTACACAAATGCTCATAATAGCACTATTCACAATAGCCAAAAGGTGGCTACAACCTAAATGTCCATCAGCTGATAAATAGATAACTGAAATATGGTACATATATCCATCCAGTCCAATACTACTTAGCCATAAAAAAGTGATGAAGTACTGATACATGTTCCCACATGGATGAACATCGAAAATATTGTGCAAGTTAAAGAAGCCAGACGGGAAAGGTCACATATTGTATGATAACATTTATATAAAATGTCCAGAAGAGGCAAATCCATAGATACAGAAAGCAGATTGGTGGCTATCAGGCTGGGAAGAGAAGGAAATATGGAGTGACTGCTTAATGGGTATGGGATTTCCCTTTAGGGTGATAAAAATGTTTTGGAACTTGACAGAGGTTCCAAATAGGTTGCACAACACTGTGAATGTACTAAATGCCACTGAATTGTTCACTTAAAAATGTCTAATTTCATGTTGTGTAAATTTTACCTCAAAAAAAAAAATTCTCTGAATGTTTTATTGTATAGCATCCTATTCTGTATCATGGTTGTAATGTTTTCTATTACCTGTACCGTATTTTTATGTAAATAATGGGTGCCTTCTACATTTGTTTGCCAACCGTGCCCTCCCCCATGAGGTATTTTCATATTCACTGTTATGCTAATTTTAGTTGTTCCTGTAAAAAAAACTAGCATAGCGCACTTACAAAAATACCTCACTGTGGGAGGGACCGGCTGTTAAACAAATGTAGTAGGTGCACGCTATTTGTATAAAAATATGGTAATTACATTAGGATGTAAGTTTTTTCTCCCTACAAAGCCTATGTTCCTATCTAGTTGTTTTCTCATATAATTGGCTTTTCACAGATATTTGAAAATCTTAGGCTGCTTGTTCATATTTAAGAGAGGGAGATAAAAAATGGACAGAAACACTGAGCACCTGGGGTGGGGGAGGGGGGTCTTTGAACTGTGAGCTACACCTTAAGTAATCTGCTAAGATTTTTGTTAGGGAATCCTCAATTAGATCAGTATTTTTAGGATTTTCTTTTTGGGCTGGTCAGAGTCCTTGGAAAAAGCTCTAGCAATCTCCTGCTTGGAGAGTGAAGCCATAGCTGCCAGCATTATGGGAGCTGAGTAGCAGAGAAGAGTATGTTGTTGTTGTTAGGTGACAGAGTTGGTTCTGACTCATAGCGACCCTACACACAATAGAATGAAACACTGCCCGGTCCTGCACCTTTCCTGACTTTAAACCATGCAGTATCCCCTTGTTCTGTTTGAATGACTGCCTCTTGGTCTATGTAGACTCCTCATGAGCACAATTAAGTGTTCTGGAATTCCCATTCTTTGCAATGTTATCCATAATTCGTTATGATCCACACAGTCGAATGCCTTTACATAGTCAATAAAACACAGGTAAACATCTTTCTAGTATTCTCTGCTTTCAGCCAGGATCCATCTGAAATCCCTGGTTCCACGTCCTCTTCTGAATCTGGCTTGAATTTCCGGCAGTTCCCTGTCGATACACTGCTGCAGCTGCTTTTGAATGATCTTCAGCAAAATTTTACTTGCATGTGATATTAATGAGATTGTTTGATAATTTCCACATGTGGTTGGATCTCCTTTCTTGGGAATAGGCATAAATATGGATCTCTTCCAGTTGGTTGGCCAGGTAACTGTCTTCCAAATTTCTTGGCATAGATAAGTAAGCACTTCCAGCACTGCATCCGTTTGTTGAAACATCTCAATTGGTGTTCTGTCAATTCCTGGAGCCTTGTTTTTTGCCAATGCTTTCAGTGCAGCGTGGACTTCTTCCTTCAGTACCATCGGTTCCTAGTCATATGCTACCTCCTGAAATGGTTGAACGTCGACCAATTCTTTTTCGTATAGTGACTCTGTGTATTCTTTCGATCTTCTTTTGATGCTTCCTGCATTATTCAATATTTTGCCCATAGAGTCCTTCAATATTGCAACACGAGGCTTGAATTTTTTCTTCAGTTCTTTCAGCTTGAGAAATGCTGAGCATGTTCTTCCCTTTTGGTTTTCTAACTCCAGGTCTTTGCACATGTCATTATGATACTCTACTTTGTCTTCTCGAGCCGCCCTTTGAAATCTTCTGTTCAGCTCTTTTACTTCATCATTTCTTCCTTTCTCTTTAGCTACTCGACATTTAAGAGCAACTTTCAGAGTCTCTTCTGACATCTATTTTGGTCTTTTCTTTCTTTCCTGTCTTTTTAATGACTTTTTGATTTCTTCATGTATGATACTTTTGATGGCATTCCACAACTCATCTGGTGTTCGGTCATTAGTGTTCAAAGTGCCAAATCTGTTCCTGAGATGGTTTCTAAATTCAGGTGGGAAAATACTCAAGGTCGTGATTTGGCTCTTGTGGACTTGTTCTAATTTTCTTCAGTGTCAACCTGAACTTGCATATGAGCAATTGATGATCTGTTCCACAGTCAGCCCCTGGCCTTGTTCTCACTGATGATATTGAGGTTTTCTATTGTTTCTTTCCACAGATGTAGTCAGTTTGATTCCTGTGTACTCCATCTGGTGAGGTTCATGTGTATAGTCGCTGTTTATGTTGTTGAAAGAAGATATTTGCAATGAAGAAGTCATTGGTCTTGCAAAGTTCTACCACGCGATTTCTGGCATCATTTCTATCAGCAATGCTATATTTTTTAACTACTGATCCTTCTTCTTTGTTTCCAACTTCCCCATTTCAGTAGCCAGTATTTATCAATGCATCATGATTGCATGTTTGATCAATTTCAGACTGCATAAGTTGGTAAAAATCTTCAATTTCTTCATCTTTGACCTTAGTGGTTGGTATGTAAATTTGATTAACAGTTGTACTGTAACTGATGGGAATTGGTCCTGCCCAATGTGATCCCTCAAGTCAATTGAGAGACACCAGGCTTTTGAGAAAGAGAAAGTGGACTTTACCCAAGCTGGTCAAGTAAGGAGTTCAGAGGCTAAGTCTCAAATCAAGCTCCCTGAAGCTGTGGATTTTAGGGCAGTTACAGGGTTCTGGATAGGGAACTTATGCATAATTCATGAAGTTTCTGGGAATAGGTGGGCAATTTCAGGAACTAATTAACATGTATGGGGTGCAGTGGGGGTGCAATATGACAGCTAGGGGGGTATGACACATGAAGTTTATCTAAGGACAGTTTTGTGATTTAGTGCTCATGTCCAAATGTGGGGGGGGGGGCAGGTGAGTAGTGAAGTGACCTTGAGCAGAGAAGCAGCAGTAAGACGACCTTGTGTTGTTACACGGACAACACAAAAATGTCTTATCAGGAACTCAGAGAGCCTGGCTGGGATGAGAGAAGGAGAAGGGAATAGTTTAACCTTGTCAGTTACATTTTAGAAGGGGAAATAGTTTAACCTTGTCAGTTACATTTTAGAAGGGGAAACAGTTTAACCCTGTCGGTTACAGTATTAACTGGTCTTCCTTGTAGCAGTATGGATATTATCCTATCACTGACAGCGTTGAACTTCAGGATAGAGCTTGAAATATTCTTTTTGACGATGAATGCAACCCCATTCCTCTGTCATTCCTGGCACAGTGGACCATATGATTGTCCGATTCAAAATGGCCAATACCAGTCTATTTCAGCTCACTAATGCCTAGGATATTGATGTTTAAGTGTTCCATTTCATTTTTGATGATTTCCAATTTTCCGAGATTCATACTTCGCACATTCCATGTTCCTATTATTAATGGATGTTTGCAGCTTTTCTTCTCACTTTGAGTTGTGCTGCAGCAGCAAATGAAGGTCTCGAAAGCTTGACTCCATCCATGTCATTAAGGTTGACTCCACTTTGAGGAGGCAGCTCTTCCCCAGTCGTATTTTGAGTGCCTTCCAACGTGAGGGGCTCATCTTCTGCAACTGTATCAGACAATGTTCTGCTGCTATTCATAAGGTTTTCACTGGCTAATTCTTTTCAGAGTAGACTGCTGGGTCCTTCTTCCTAGTCTGTCAGTCTGGAAGCTCAGCTGAAACCTGCCCACCATGAGTGACTCTGCTGGTATTTGAGTATCAGTGGCATAGCTTTCAGCATCACAGCACCATGCAAACCCCTACAGTAAGACAAACTGACAGACATGTGGGGGAGTTAATATGAAAGGTGCTACAAAAAACTTGTTAAAAGGCAAAAAACTAATAGTTATCTTTCAGACTGAATTTACAGCCCCAAATATTGTCATGACACATTCTAAATTTTAAGGTGTTTATTTTATAATACATTACAAGGTAATACCTGGGATAGGACCTGAAAAGGCACTTAATACATACTTATAAGATTAAATACGTTAATTGAGAAATACAGACAAAATTAGATTGGCAATTAATACTTTATAGGACTATGAACTGCTTTCCTGGAAGAAGAAAGATAATATATGAAGAGTAAATCAGGGAAAATCAAATTTACAGATTTAAAAACCATGACAGAGTTAACATTTGGGAGAAAAGTTACTTAAAATTATAGCTTTTTTCTTGATCTCCAATAGGATAGTGCACTTTCTTGGAATAACCAAGAATACTATCACTGATACCCTTTCCACCACAGTTGAGAGCAGGACCACCATCCAAAGGTCACTTCTCATTTCTTAATATATGGCATATAATAAGCATTTCTAGTTTTCAGGTTGGTAATAATTTTTCCATTTTAACTAGGGTCACTGAAAACTCTTATTAAAATTCCTGCTATGATGATAGCAACAGCAATAGCTAAGGCCATTCCATGATAGAAAATCAACTGCTTCACTGTCAAAGCATTCCCAATGGTGGACACTGAATACTGAGTGCTGTCTTCAAGTACCATCAGTTGCATGGTCTGGCTCCCTGGTCTAATGACATCAGGCAAAATCACTCCATCGACTACTTCTCTTTCCAGGACAGGTAGTTCTGTTTGTAGAAATAGCAGTGGAGTAATTACTTATGTACCAGGTTAAGTAAAGGAACATTACTAAAGGTTATGCAAGAACACATTGTAAACAATGACCATCAAACACTGATTAGTGCATGTGAAATTATATTGAAAACATTTTGTGGAAGAATCCAGAGTTAATCTCACCGACTACTAGGGCAGAGATAAGTTTTATTGATCAAGAGAGCAGGATCTCATAAACTAAGCAACTCTGGCTACATTAAGTTTCAGCCTTTGTAAGACAGTAATAGCATATAGTAGACAAGGTCTTCTGTTACCTGTTATGGTAGGTATGGTCTCCGTAATCACTTTTAGCCCAGCTTGAACCTGTGCCTAAATACAAGCGTCACATAAGCAAATGAATTGTAAGTCAAATTAAGCTAGTGCTCTTTCTTTAAAAATTCCATTTAAAGCTACTGCTGAAACTACTGCTAAGGGATTATAATATCTAGCAAGTCTTTTTTGATCCTGTAAATGCCCAATGCCAGCAAAACATAACACCAGAAAGCTACTAGTCTTCCCCTATAATCAGCTCACAATGATAATATGAAAAGCTACTTGTTACTATAATTGCAAATTTAGTATATTTTTTGCACTTATTCTCTTTAGTGTTCCTAAACACAAATAAAAGAAATAAAGTCTAAAGAGAAATGGTATTATCATCTAATGGAGAGTTTATGGTCCAATTTAATGTCCTGTATACTTTATTCCTAAAAGGAGTCCCTGGGTGTGCAAATGGACTACTAACTGAAAGGCTGGTGATTGAAACCTACCCAGAAGTGCCTAAGAAGTAAGGCCTGGCTATCTGGTTCCTTCACAGCCTTGAAAACCCTATGAAGCAGTACTACTCTGCACACGTGGGTTCATCATGAGTCAGAATCGACTCAATGGCAACTAACAACAACAACAACATACCTTATTCCCTTAATAAATTGAAGGTAGAAAATATATACTACATCCCAATTAGGCAAATCAAAAGAGATTTGAAAACTAAAAGGTGGTCAAAACTTAGATTGTGACAATTTATGCATCTAAACTTATTCTATGTCTCATTAATAACCCCTCCAGTAAGGCAGCCTTCCACCCATCTAATCTCAAGTCTCAGTGCAATAAAAAGGGCTCACAATTCAACACACAGATCCCCAAATCAGTCAAGATCCCGATCCTCCATCCATATGTTGTGGCTCTGTCCCTAAAGTACTTTCCACTAATCCCAGATACTTAGCCTACTGCTTTTTAGTACACCATGGACCAAAAAAAAAAAAAAAAAGCCTTAAAAACTGCTAACAAATCATTATTCACTGTTACCTGCTCTGCAACTCTATTCAAGTTTGTCCTCAAAATGTATACCAAATAGAAAAGCGCTTGAAAGAAGACACAAATTACCAACTCAGACCAGAGTCCTGTGGGTGTAAAAGGCATAGCACATTTTAGATTTTCTTCAGTTCTGTTCCTAATCTCACTAAAATTCTTCCCTAACTACTATAACTACAAAGAAAAGTTTCAATTAAATTAACTTCCTTAAATTTTTAGGTAACTACAGACCAGGGATTAGAATCAAGTTTACCATTGTGCTATCAATGGCAATCAGTCAATCAATTAACAAATAATACAAAACACCCTCCAAACTGTTTAGTGCTTATATGCTGATTTAACAAATATTTATTGGCTTTGTGTGTGTGTGTGTGTGTGTGTGTGTGTGTGTGTGTATGTGCCAGGTATTGTTTTAAGTGCTAGACATACAGCATTGAACAGGCAGACAAGGTCGCTGCGCTCATGGAGCTTATATTCCAGCGGGGGGAGACAAACAATAAACAAGAAAGCAAACATGATAATTTCAAAGACTGATCAGTGCTATGAAAAGTACTGTAGAAGATATTTTGAATAAGATGGTCAGGAGGGCCTCTCTGAGGTGGAAACCTGAGTGGTAAGGAGCCAGCCATAAGAAGCTGTAGGAAAGGGCACTCCAGGCAGAGGGAAGAGCAAGGGTAAAGGCCTAGGGAAGGACTAGTTTGTGAGTGGGAGGAACAGAAAGGCCAGTGTGGACAGAACATCATGAGCTCCAAGGTGGAGGGGAGTGCGCAGGAGCTGAGGTCAGAGAAGCTGACCACATGAGAACATGTGAGCCATGCAAGGATTTAGGCTTTATTCTAAGTCTAGTGGGAATCCATTGGACGGTTTTAGACTGGGGTGTGTGTTTATGTATGTGAGACTTGATATTTAAAAAGCTCATTCTGAAAACAATCACTCCAAATGCTGTATGGAAAAGATTATTGAGGCTACAAAAGTACTCCGTAAAAGAATATGTGCACAATACCTACTTACTTACGAGAAGAAATTATTTTCAACCTCTTAAACACATTGACTTACAAATTACTATGACAAAAAAAAGGAAAAGACAGGTTTTGGCAAAGATGTGGAGAAATTGGAACCCTCATCCATTGCTGGTGGGAATGCAAAAATAGTACAGCTGCTATGGAAAATAGTTTAATGATTCTTCAAAAATTTGAACATAGAACCATACAACTCAGCAATCCCAATCCCAGAAGAACTGAAAGCAGGAACACAAACAGAAACTTGTACACCAATGCTCACTGCAGACTGTTCACAATAGCCAAAAGGTGGAAACAACAGAAATGTCCACCACAAGATGAATGGATAAACAAAATATGGTATATACATAAAATGTAGTATTATGCAGCTGTAAAGAGGAATGAAGTTCTGATGCATGCCACAACATAGATGAACCTTGAAAACATTATGCTGAGTGAAATAAGTCAGTCACAAAAGGACAAATACTGTATGATCCCACTTATATGAAACAGGCAAATGTATAGAGACAAAATTTTATTAGTGGTTACTAGGGGATGAGGGAGAGAGAAAAGGGAAATCAGTGCTTAGAGGACACTGAGTTTCTGTAAATGGTGGTGGAATAATTTGAAAAAGGATATTGGTGATGGTTGCACAACATGATGAATACAATCAATGTCACTGAATTATACGTGTAAAATTGTTGAATTGGCGAAAGTTGTTACATATTTTATTTTGTTATATATATTTTACCACACACACACAAAAATGACTTATATGCCAACAATTTCACAATAAAGCAAGCTGTTTACTTAAGCTAGAGTTATAATAGGCTGTAAATTGGAAATTAGTCCACTAATTCATTCATAACATATCTGGGGGCTCCACTGGCAAAGGTACACTGAGGCTGGCCCTCAGACATACTCCTGGCAATAAAACAAAAATTGGAATAACCTCCAGTTTAGAAGTAGACAGATGGAGAGATTACACCCTTTGTTCAAGTAACTTCATTCCTAGGTATCTAGCCTAAGGAAAGATTTGGAAATGTTAATAATTCATATACCTGGGATGCTCATCACAATGTTATTTATAAAGAAGCAAATTATATATCCAATATTAAGGAAAGATTAAATAAATGAGACAAGGAAATATTATATAGTTACTAAATACCATGTCTTTGACAATTACCAGTTACCAGCTGCCGTTAAGTCGGTGTCAGAGTAGAACTCCACAGGGTTTTCAAAGGCTGGTTTTTTGGAAGTAGATTGCCAGGCCTTTCTTTCAAGGCACTTCTGGATGGATTTGCACTGCCAGCCTTTTGGTTAGCAGCCAAGTGCATTAACCATTTGTACCACCCAGGGTACTCCATTTGACAATTACATAT